TACGTAAATGATAAGTCACTGAATTCTACTCCTGAAACCAATATTGCACTATATATTAACTAACTAGATTTAAATAGAAATTTGAAAAAAATTAATAAAAATTAAGGGCGCCTGAGTGGCTCTGTCAGTTAAGCAAGCATCCAACTCTTAGTTTCAGCTCAGGTCATGATCTCACGGTTTGTGGGTTTGAGTCCCACATTGGGCTCTGCACTGAGCTCACAGACTGCTTAGGATTGTCTCTCTCTGCTCCTTTCCCACATGCATGCTTGCTCTCTCTCTGAAAATAAATAAATAAACTTTAAAAAATTAAATTAAAAAAGGAAGAAAACACTGTAATTTACTGTGGCTGAAACTGGATTCTTATAATTTTTTTTCTCTTATTTTATAGTTATTTATTATCTAAATTAGGGCACTACCCCCAGGGGTGGGAAGAAGATAAAGGAAAAAAAAATTCAAAATGCAATTTCTAGCAACAGTGGACTGGGTAATAAAATGTTGGTCCATACATATAAAGAGTGCATGCAGCTATTGATAATGTTTTTTAGTTAATGAATGTGTTCTTTCCTGGTAATTAAATGGCTTAATTATCACCAATTCTAGCTTTTTAAATTATAAAACTAGTTATATTTTAAAAATGGAGGAAAGTACAGAATCACACTTGTAAATACAGATAACAAACTGATGTTTGCCAGAGGGGAGTAGGGCGTGGACAAAATGGGTGAAGGGGAGTGGGAGATACAGGCTTCTAGTTATGTAACAAATAAGTCATGGGAATAAAAGGTACAACAGAGGGTATACAATCAATGGCATAATAATAGTTTTGATGGTAATAGATGGTGTACACTTGTGGAAAGCACAGCATAACATAAAGAGTTCATGAATCATCATGTTGTATACCTGAAACTAATGTAAAATTGTGTCTCAACTATACTGAAATTAAAAAATAAATAAAAATTGGGGCATCTGGGTGGCTCAGTCAGTTAGGCATCCGACTCTTTGATTTCAGCTCAGGGCATAATCCTAGGGTTGTGCAATCACACTCAGTTTCTACTCTTGAGTGTGGAGCCTGCTGAGGATTCCCTCTCTCTGTCTGCCTCTCCCCCCTGCTTGTGCTCTCTAAATAAATAAATAAATAAATAAATAAATAAATAAATAAATAAATAAATAAATAAAACTAGGGAAAATACTAGGAAAAGAGAAAGGAAGCTCTAAGGTCAAACCATTTTTTTTATTCAAGTATAATTAACATACAGTGTTATATTAGTTTCAAGTGTACAGTATAATGATTCAACAATTCTACACATCTCAGTGTTTATCAAGGTAAGTGTGCTCTTAACACCCTTTATCTATTTCATCCACCCCTCACCCACCTCCCCTCTGGCAACCACCAGTTTGTTCTCTGTATTTAAGAGTCTGTTCCTTTTGTCTTTCAGATTCAACATATAATTTAAGTCATGGTATTTGCCTTTCTCTGATTGGACTTATTTTACTTAGCATTATACCCTCTAGCTCCATCCATGTTGTTGCAAATGGCAAGATCTCATTATTCTTTACCACTGAGTAATTATGACATTTTAAAAATAAACCACATCTTCTTTATCCATTCATCTATTGATAGACACTGGCTTGCTTCCATATCTTAGCTACTGTATATAATGGTGTAGTAAACATAGGGGTGTATATGTCTTTTCAAATAAGTGTTTTTGTTTTCCTTGGGTAAATACCCAGTAGTAGAATTAGTGGATCATATGGTATTTCTACTTTTAATTTTTTGAGGAACCTCCACACTGTTTTCCAGAGTGGCTGCACCAATTCCCACCAACAGTGCATAAGCGTTCCTTTTTCTCCACATCCTTGCCAAATACTTGTCATTTCTTGTCTTTTTTATTCTAGTCATTCTGACAGGTGTAAGGTGATGTATCTCAGCACTTGATTTGCACTTCCCTGATGATGAGTGATGTTGAGCATCTTTTCATGCATGTTTGTCTTCTTTAGAAAAGTAACTATTCAGGTCCTCTGCCCATTTTTTAATTGGGTTATTTGTGGTTTTTTGATATTGAGTTAAGTTCTTTGTATACTTTGGATATTAACCCCTTATTGGATATATTATTTGCAAATATCTTCTCCCGTTCAGTAGATTGTCTTTTTGTTTTGTTGATGGTTTCGTCCTGCGCTGTGCAAAAGCTTATCTTTGTCTAGTTCCAATAGTTTAATTTTGCTTTTGTTTCCCTTGCCAGAGGAGATGTATCTAGAAAAATGTTTCTATGGCTGATGTCAGAGAAAGTACTTCCTATGCTTTCTTCCAGGAATTTTATGGCTTCAGGTCTCACATTTAGGTCTTTAATCCATTTCGAGCTTATTTTTGAGTATGGTGTAAGAAAGTGGTCCAGTTTTCCCAACACCATTTGTTGAAGAGACTTTTTCCCCACTGTATATTCTTGCCTCCTTCATCATAGATTCATTGACCATATACAGGTGGGTTTATTTCTGGGCTATTTTGTTCCATCGAGCTGTATGTCTATTTTTGTGCCAGTACCATACTGTTTTGATTACTAAGCATTGTAGTATAACTTAAAATCTGGAATTGTGGTATCTCCAGCTTTGTCCTTCTTTTTCAAGACTGTTTTGGCTACTTGGGGTCTTTAATGGGTCCATACAAATTGTGGGTTATTTGTTCCAGTTCTTTGAAAAATGCTGGCATTTTGACAGGGGTTGCATTAAATCTATAGACTATGTTGGGTAGTTTGGACATTTTAAAAATATTGGTTCTTCCAGTCCATGAGCATGGACTATCCTTCATCTGTGACACCCTCAATGTCTCTCGTCAATGTTTTATAGAGTACAGATTTTTCACCTCCTTGGTTAGGTTTATTTCTAGGTGTTTTATTATTTTTGGTGCAATTATAAATGAAATTATTCTCTTAATCTGCTACATCATTACTAGTGTAGAAAAATGCAACAGATTTCTGTATATTCATCTCATATCCTGTGACTTTACTGAATTCATTTGTCAGTTGTAGTGTAGTTTTTTGGTGTTCAAACTATTTTTAATAAACATTTTAAAAAATATGACCAAGAAATGTAAAAATATCTTTTCCACAATAACTTTGCAATTACTGTGACAATTAATGATGATTAAAGATATACAGCAATGCTATCACACACTCTGCTCAACAGCTTCACAAACAGTGCCTGTTATTACAGTCTGAGATCTCATCTTCTAGAACACCCTGTCTGATTTGGATTTTACCTCATTTTTTATAAAGACAGCATGCACTACAGCTTCTTTATCTTCATTAGAAGGCAAATGAACTGCTTCTTCAGGTATGATCTGGGACCACTGGCCTACCAATGAAGGGCTTTTAGAAGATAAGATATTCTTGAATTCCAAATATTCCCAAAGAAATATGCATCCAGGAGTTATAAGCAGAACTCTTCTCCCATTTCCAGATACATACAAGTACAGTCTCAAAGAGCTTGCTTTAAAAAAACAAACAAAAAAAGGCAATTAAACCTGTGAAGTCTGAGTTCCTCCCAGAAAGTACATCATTTATCTATCCTGACAATAAGACACCTAAATGATGTTTCATTTCCATTCAGGATAAAACTAAGGCACTACTAATAAATTCAAAGTACAAATAATAATATTTACCATGTACTTGTCATGTGATATTAGGACCCACTGTTATCAGATATGTTAGGCAAGCCAGACTTTTCTTCAAGATGAATCTAAGTATCACAAATAAACACCATCAGGGTGCCTGAGTGGCTCAGTCAGTTAAATGACCAACTCTTGATTTCAGCTCAGGCCACGATCTCATGGTTTGTGGGTTCGAGTCCTGCATCGGGCTCTGCATTGAGCAAGGAGCCTGCTTAAGATTCATATTCTCTCTCTCTCTCTCTCCCCCTCTCCCTCTCCCTCTCTTTGCCCCTCCCCCACTCACCTGTGTGCTCTCCCTAAATAAATAGTAAAAAACAAACACCATCAAAAAAATCATATATATATACAAGAAAACATATATATGTATATGTATATATTTATATATACACAGATATATTTATGCACACATACAGAGATATTTTTAACATAGTAATAGGAAAATGTTTCATCTTCTTTTCCTCCCATTTATCAAGGAAACCAATTTAAACAAATAAAAAATTCCCACCTACTGCAGCTTGAATCATTTTCTTAGGCTTTTCAGCTGCCTGTACAGTTTTCAAGCAATCTTGATCTTTGTTCCAAAGAAAAAGCTGCCCTGTAGTGAGTACCCCAGCCAGCCAGGCATCTGTTTCCAAAAAGGAAATACAATAGTTATAATCTAATATTTCCCTTAATATTACCCCAAGTTTTTATGAATACAATTAATCTAGCCTTTTGAAAATATCAGTACTACTTAACCATTACTGGATGTTGTTAGGACAATAGCATCCTTCAACAAAGGCTGCAGACAAGGAATTTTCTTCTTTGTTCTTCCAGAGAGCAAATTAATTTCATTTATAAATTTATTATCCAAAAGGAAAACAGCTTCATTTTCCTAAGAGAAGAAACATATGACACTTAAGAGGTGCCAGGAGGTAATTCAACCTCTAATCTAAATAAATTATCCCAGAAAGGAAAACAAAGTGACATTCAAGAAAGATTATACATTTGTACCACAAATCATAAAATGAAAATAAGGTTGATTAGGTATCCTGGAGATTTTTCACTCTATCTTAAAATATTTATTAGAATTACTAGGTAAGATGACCTAATGGCTGCACCTAGACCTTTTTGACCTTTAAAATTATAAGAGTACTGGGAATGCAAGCTGGTGCAGCCACTCTGGAAAACAGTATGGAGGTTCCTCAAAACACTAAAAATAGAACTACCCTATGACCCAGCAATTGCACTACTAGGTATTATCCAAGGGATACAGGTGTGCTGTTTCGAAGGGACACATGCACCCCCATGTTCATAGCAGCACTATCAACAATAGCCAAAGTATGGAAAGAGCCCGAATGCCCACTGATAAATGAATGGATAAAAA